CACAAATTCAATCAAGTTATGTTCAACATTGACCTTTGGGGGTCAGGGGTTGGCGACAGTTATTGATACATGGGTTTGAATATTTTGTCCATCTACTGAAGGTCAAACATCTTACTAGTCAAAACAGTTTTTTTCACGTTAATCATGACAAAAAGTAAGATAAAATAGGTATGGAATGGTATGGACATTCTGACTTCTCAGCAAACTCCGTTAGGGAGATTGTCGGGAAATCATCCGCAGTCGATGACAATAAAACATAATATATATATATATGTTTGGTTTGTCAAATTATCACGTTCTTCTTTCTGGTTTGAAGACTGCAACATCTGTTGTTGAAAATCCTACCAAAAAGCTTTGAAATCGATTGCATTCGGGCAACATCAAGTGAAACAACCCATGACACGTTCAGTATCTTTTCGAGAACACTAAGCTAACACACATATACCTAACAATACTTGCATCATCTTGCATCTTATTCTTACAATGACGCAACTATAACGACTACCATGTCTGACTACCGTTTGTGTAGTCCCAATATGCGCCTCTAGCTCCAGGGTGGCATTTTTCATCGAACCCGTTTCAGGTCAGATCTGATCCGCTTGCTACAGAAGCATGCCCGTAAAGAGTATATCGCAGTGGCGCACGTGTATGCCATTTTAGATCAGACCTGCTGTGGCAATCAGTTTATAAACTCTATGCAGGCCTCAGTTCCGTTTCATCATTGAAATCCATACTTGCATAATAAGAAATGCAACACACATGTTTGAATTCAACAATTGGTGAACAAAAGTCAGTATGTGTGGCCTGCATAATAAGAATTGCTAAAGTATTATCATTTCAGAAGGGTTGAATAGCTCGTTCGTTCGGTGCACGTGACGTCCGGACTCATCACCAAGGCTTGAAACACACAAGCCATTGATCCATTGGTGGAAACTGAGTGGTTGTTTGTCCATTTTTTGCTTCGGAGGGAGGGGGCATTTCACAAAATTTGATTGTGGCAGCTCGTCCCACTCTATTTTAGTGTTACATACTTGGCAGATTCTCTCACTGGAGGTGACTGGTACACTGCCGAAAAAGAATGCCAGGGACCACACACACACACAACTTGCGCTCCAATCCAAACGCACCTCCCAGTCCTTTCAGTTTTTTTTTGCCATTGGCTGGGGGGTACCGGAGGAGAATCTAGACACTGACTCTGTAACAAAATGTGCAACGAAACAGCATGTTTAACCGGTGCATCCCCAGGTTAAAACAAAGGCGAATTCAGACGAACTGTGTCAGCCTGACGGACAATTTGCGAATTTACTGATCAAGACCAAGGGAATCTATCGGTTTGCGTGTATGAATACGCTTTTCTACTCTCTGGTAAAGATTCTGTCGTTGTGAGAAAGGAATATCTGCAGGCAAATGATGGCCAAAAATGGGGCAAGACAAATTTGGCACGAAAGGTAGGCGAACATTTAAGGGATACGGTTGGCCAGGTGTAGAGGCATAGTCACGCAAGATTTGCATTGCGTGTTCTCGTTGTGGAAGTGTGGGACGAGATACAATTCCCCCCACTAAACTTCGATGATAACCTAGCCGCACCATTCTAGAGGCACCTGCCTTGCTATATCGAGGATACAGCTGAGTTTGGGCAGCTTTTTCTAGATACTGGACAACATGACGAAAGTTAGTGGCCTGATGCGACAGCCTCCGAACTTCAGGTTTCTGACACGTCCGGTGAAAAGAACTCAAATGGATGTGGTTGATGGATGTAGACTTTTCGCCAAATAGGCATACATCTACCTGCGAAAAGCGAAACAACAAGTTCATACCAGGTAATTCCATCAGTTGCAGGAAGATCTGGATGGCGCCAAATCCATTGCTGAAAGAATTTCCAGAAACACTGACTTAGCTATCTGCGCCCCAGCTGGACACGCTTGTGCGATTACTTCATGGAGTCCGTCCATGCCTGTCCGTCAATTTCCCATGTACTTAGGACTTTTTGTAGATGTGAGATATCATCGAGTCCTTGTGCATGCAAGGCTGCTCCTTCTTCTGTTTCTTTTTCAAGTTTAAGGGTCGATTGAAGACTATTCAATGTGCACAAGTACCGGTAAACACATATCAAGTCCTCCATCTGCCTCGCACTGTGTTTAATAGATGTTATCGGCTGCTTGGCGGAACGTATCAATATCCTGCCTATTGAGTAATTAAGCTGTTTCATCTGCCAAGGCATTTCCCATATATATATATAATCGAACAAAGATCAAAAAAATCATGTGCATGTGCGTAGTCCCGGTGGGACTTAACTTTATGAATCTGATAGAATCTTGCATCCCAGGAAACACGCAGGGGTTAAACTAAATCATAGTGAGCAAGGTTATATGTTTTGGGATCAAGCAGGCGCGTGCTCAAGGAGCAAACATTTTTTCCGCAAAACTTGAATCGGTATAGATACCAACCAGTGGACGAGGTACCTGTTGCGAGTAAAATTCTGACACCCAAACAACTGATTCAAGTTCACCCCGATTAATCGTCTGGTTAACCTTCACATGTGACACCTGCAAGATTTCAAAGTCATTAATAAATGGATCTGACGAACAGCTGCCCATGCTGCCTTACAGCAGTTTGTTGTTGTGGTCGGTCACATGTTCCATCTGTGAAAATCTGAATAGCCTCGTCAGTTTGTGTATGTGTGGGTTCCATGAAAGGCCCAGCACGAAACAGTTTAAGTCTGTTATATTTGACTTGTTGTGGATGTTGAGTAGTGAGAGGCAGCCATGCCAAATGCGGATGTTCAGTAATGATCTTCACCGCCTGAGTGTGATCAGCCCTCACGTGTTCAAAAGGCGCACAATGCAGAAGGCGATGCAGGTGTGTATCGGCTGACCACAATGCTCACATTCTAATGTTTGTGTATTATCCCATATGGCTTTTACTGCTGCCGTCTGATAGCCTCCCGTAACATTTAGTGAAATCAATTTTTGTTCTCGAGCCGACAATTGATTCATAATTTTGATTTGGGTATACGAATTACCTGGCATTGCTGTTACTCCTTTGCGGTGACATTTTTGCATGTACATAAAACGACCAGGCAAGTCGGCTAACAAATCGAATCTCTTGCGTAGATTGATACTGAAGGTTGAGCTGGTGGCCACTCGGTAGGTTCATTACACCTCCGGGGATGGGAATCCATTGCATTTTAATGCATTTTATCTAGATAGGCTGCTAAAGCACTGCAAGGACCTCTGGGAACATTTGCTTTAAGGACCTCATGCCACAGAGCATGTGCCAGTGATGGATTCGTGTGAAAGAGTCGCCGAATGGCACAAAGACCTGAAACAACGACATACAGGAATGGATCCATAACCCTGTCTGTTAAATATTGCAGTGCGAGAAATATTGCCAGGGACCCGAATCAATGCCTTTTTTGATGGAAGTGATGCCTGTGGAATGTCTTGCAGAATGGCTTTCAAAGTGCACATGAATATACAAACACATTCTCGATGTTGTTCATTCTAGATGACTTTTGTTAAACTCAATGCAACTACTGTAATGGATCTATTGCTTCATCATCTTAAGATGTCTATTCAACAAGTGAGATAAAATGGGTGTCCAAGTTGACGTTGTTCATGACTATGTGATATGTGACATAAAGAAAAGGTGTGCAACCTCTGAATGACGGGACCCCATTTTATACATGGGGTCATCTTACTGGCTTGTCCTAAATGAGTCCATTAAAGAAACATCCCCATTTATCTTGTCGGTAGCAACGGTGATTATAGAAGTTATACATACTATTTCATACTGTTATACGTATATAGTTATATAGTGCCCAGGAGGGACTGCGTTAGGTTGTGGGAACATTGCGTTAAGCCGCATAGCCAAACACACACACACACACAAAAAAAAAACTCTTGCTATGGTGTTACAGTACCACTATAGGTTTCATGCTCAATCCCAAGCACTTGAAACAAATCCATCCATTTGGTTGGCCATTGGGTGGGGGATCGGGATCGAGGTGTAGCTTCAGCGAAGCAGTTCGTCGCTCCCCCTCGAGGTGTTTGACATGTCACTCAGGCCTTGTTGTAGTCCACAATGCTCTGCATCCATTGGCAACGACTTCAGGGCGAACAGTGGCTCGTTGGACCGCGGCTGGCTGAAAGGACGCACGAGATTGAAGGGAAGCAACGGAATCCGTTGTTTGCAGGAAATGGTACGTTTGTCTTCTTTTCTGGTACGAGAATCGAATGGAAGGACAAAAGCACGACATGAAATTGATTGATCACATTTCTACATGGTAATCCATCAAGGGCTACTTCAAATATCATCTTGCAGGGGGGTGGCAAGCCACTCATCCACTCCAGCACTTCCGCCACGGAGGGAATTGCAGCATGACAATGCATGACACCATATGACACCCTTTCAATGACGCTCCGGTGCCGTCTCCGTTTCCGCCCCAAAAAAGCAGGCCTTCAAATCGAATCTTTCATGGAGGTCCCGCTGGTGCCGGGGATATCTTCAGAGCTGCCGTACAACATCATCGCAGGCTAGGGGGTTCAAAGATCAGCTGGCCATGCGGGTGATCTTTCAAACATCACCGATTTGGGTGGATTTGGAGACCTGCATTCGCTGCACGAACGACGCGAACTCTGATGAGATGGATTTCTGGAACATTCCACGAAAAAAACAACTTGGCATGAACTTTGCGAAGTGGGCGTAGCTTCAGCATTCGAAGTTAAGTCCCACTCTTGGCCCTACAGTGATCAGACCCTCCCAAGCAATCGTGTTTTGATTTGAGTTGTTGAGACTTGCGTTTCCTCTACCAAATGTTGAAACAAAGGACCGTAACAAGTTTTTTTTTCAGTTTCTGTCATGCTACGCGTGATCAACTGAAACCTTATTTATGTACAATATATATAGAGTTCCAAACTCAAAGTCTGACAAAAACCGCTGCGATAAAGAGCCACGCATGGCAGCTTTTTCGTCAGAGCATCAAGCGAGCTTGCACTTAGCCCATCAACCAGTGGCACAGCTTCCATCCTTGGCAAAGCTCTGAGAGCAAATAACTGCCGAGAAGTCGTTGAAATCATGAATTAAGAACATCGACGACGACGTTGATGACGACGACAACATCCCGGGACAGCTTTCCCGAACTATATACATTAGTCGGAGTCCTACCCAAAAATGTCGATGAACCGATGAAATGAAATGCAACACATGAAAGCTATTCAGCTTGCAACATTGTTTTTCATTTCTTATGCTTGTGGCCGGACGTCTGTGTGCTTCCAATTTAGGGCTCCGTGATCGGAGAGGGAAAGTACCCAAATGGGCCGTAGGAAGGAGCATCCTAGTCTAGGCAATCTAGATTGGCTAGATTCTTGCGCACCTACCTCAATGCTTGCTTTAAACTTTGCTCTTGTGATTCTTGCTTGGTTCCATGGTCCATGGCCCTTTCACTCGGCAAGGAATCACGACGTGTGTTTCACCCCATCTTCGCCCTTCGCCCAGCTCATCCGGTGGACATCACCCGCGTGATATCGCGGGATGCAGAGTCATCACCCTGGACAGCCTGTAGCAATGCCAAGACTCACACCCTTCTGAGCTGTCAACGCCAAGCTAAGAGAGATGCCCCCCGGGCGCACCCGACGCACCTGGCGTAACGCCACGCTGCGCGATGCTGCGCGACCAACGCGATGCCGCGCGACGCGGCCGAATCAAAACCAGTTCTTTCCCTGTTGTTGGCTCGGAGCTCGGAATTCTAGTTCGTGTGCAATGGCACAGACCAGTTCCAAATGTCTTGTCTGCCAGGGCTCTCTTGCTATGCGTCGTACCTCCATCAACTTCAGCGTGTGGATCGCCTGCAGCCAGGCCGATGCGCCTTGGAACGCCTGAGCGCGACCGGGTGGTTGATAGACCCCCTGAAGATGTATTTTCCATCGAATAACCACCCCTTGGGTGGTGCTGGTAGAAAACACTAGTAGCGATGCCCTTTGTTACTAGGAGCGATGCCAGGAGCTAGTAGCTATTTGCTCCTGGTAGATGAGATTCAACTATAGATGAGCTGATGAGCGTGTGTAAAGTTTGTGAGTATGTTGGTCCCCAAAAAACTGGAGAACAACTCTGGAAATGAAGTGCGAAGACATTCGGACGACCTCCTGTTCCATGACATTGGGTTTATTCTTCCCATCGTACGAAATCAGCACGGATGTGGTCCTTAAGTCCTTCATGTCAATAGCGAGCCACCAAAACAGGGTGAAGAATAGGAGAAAGACCTGACATTTGCAGCATTGAATAGCCGTGGACACATGACGGCAGTCAGTGTTCATCGCATTGTGGGTCTTAATGCTTTGAAGGAAAAACACCATTGAAGGAAAAACAAAGGTGTACTGACGGTCAATGCTCTTGATTCTCACCCATGTGCAAACAGTTTCCAGTCCCGGCCTTTCTGCACTCGTCAGGTTTTCAACTTTAAAACTACCCCTGACCTGGCGGAGGTTGTCCGATACGGTTGGATCAACCCAATCGATGGCCTGGATGGAATTGTCAGCCAGGTCGCATGCAACGCTGAATTGCAGGTGACCAGGTCTAGTGAAGATAGCACGTGCCTAAGTAAGTCCAAGTTGATCTATGGTGGTGTCATTCACTGGGGGGGTCTTGCAAGTGATTCACTCGGGTTGACCCCTCCCATGTGATAGGGGATTGAGACAACACCATGGATCCAAGTAGTGCTTCAACAGCATTCTGGTTCCAGAATGGTGACAAGACCTGCTCTATAGTTTTGAACCGTGAGAAGTCATATGCTCAACTAATTTAGGATCCAGCTCCCGCTTAGGTGAACATAAACACGCAGCGCAAATGCACTGAAGGACTCATTCCGAAATTCAAGCAACTCCCGTTCCGTTCCCTCAAAAAAATGTTCAGGAACCTGCAACCATTGGCAATGAACAATGCAAGGTCTGATGTACTTGAAACAACCAACGGACGAATCAAACCGAAGGTGCTGATGCAACATTTGAAGGCTTTGCTGCCACAGGATTGCGAGAGCCATAATTGAAGTGTAGGTGACCACCGTGGCTTGCAAAGCCCTGAATAACCTGTAGGGTCGGGTCCGGGAAGTGTGATTGAACTTCGGCTGCTCGTGAGTGTTTGAAGAATGCAGGTTTCCCACTCAATGAAACCACTGGTGGGGCTCAAACTCGTAAACAGGGCCAGCTCCACAATGAGCATCTTCAGGCGCGCGATTCGGAAACGACGGAAAACCAAAACAGAACAAAGCTAATAGGCTATAGGCTATAGGTGCTGTCTGAACCAAGCACATGCTGTTACATGCGGTTTTGGATCCTACTTAATCTTCAACGCTTGGAAGCCTGCCCAAATGTACCAGCCATATGACCACCCCAGAACCCAAAAATTCCCGGTGCCTGCAGGCAACAAGGAGAGTGCGTCTATGGACATTATTAGCATGTTTTACCAACATACATATTCACACGCGCAGTGTCACCCTCAAATAGACAGACCATGAAACATGCCAAAACCCAAACACGACAACCCGCATGTTTTGCTAAAGATTCTCTGAAACCAAAGCCAGGCTGGCAATGTGCGGTCATTGAACATTCGCTGTGTCATCGAATGATCCAGCTACCCTCCCGGTGTTTCTAGACGCATCTGATTTGGCTTAAGGAGCCCCACATGGAGCAGCTGCACGGCCTGTGGCCAGCGGTCGGAAGTGACGCGGTCGACCGCGGCACCGTAGGTGACCGCGTTCGCTTGAAGGCCGAGCGTTAGGCCCAGCAGTCGCAGGGACCGAGCCCAAGCCCCGCAGGCACCTCGAGTTGGCACCGCGAGTCTTGGAAAGAAATGGGTAAGGCTTAAGCAACTGGAGGCAATGGCGGCATAGAACAAACACATATATAGATATATTAATGTTGCTTCATGTATACTTTATAAATATATATATATAAGCACTTGCGAGTTCAGTCTATGCCAGTGCTACAGAAATGTCTTTTGTTGACTGGTTAGGGCTGTAGGACTGTTTATAGTTTATAGTTATCTTCAATCTGGACAAAGGCTCAAGATAACAAACACATGCATCTGCAATGAAGTACAAGGACCTGCCAAGCTATATGTTCATGACATGGGCAAAAAATGCGACCCTGGAACTTGCAAAACAATACACACGATGTTGGACAAGTCTCTGATGGCGGCATTTTGAGTCACTAGGTCCACCTCGAGATGCTCCTCTTGCAACTTGTTGTGCATTGACAAGGCTTGCGTCCATTGACCGAAACGCTCGCAGGCGCTGATGGTAGCCGCACAAATCACTGGATCAGCTTCTAGGGATGTGCCTTCCGTGCCGCTGGTGCAGGTCCGCAACACTCTGTCACTCTGTGCGGGCAGCTAGAGCCTTCTGGGAGTTGGCACATGGTTCATCCCGAAGCACCTCGACTCTGTTCGGGGGTTCTGGATCGACACCCAGGCGGGGGGGCCCTTGGTTCCATATTCTCCACCATGCTACGAGTACCGTGGGAGTCTACCATGGTGCAGGTTGATCAAGTGCCCAAACACCTGGAACCTTTCAGCTCCTGCAGCACGTTCCAGTAGCCCCAGCGCCATTCTCCATGACCTCTGACAAACTGCAGAACTGTATGCCACGGTATTTGCTTCAAGCTGTCGGACCGCTAGTCCACGCAGTAGTGACAGTGACTCTTCCCACCGCAAGCCCTTGCCCTCGGTCAGCAACGTGTCTGCTCATGGACTCATAGAGTTGAAATACACCACGAACATGCTGAAAAGGCTCCCACAAGAAACTTCAACATGGTCAACGGGTTAGAGCAAGAACATTTGCGACTCCTATGCTTTTGAGTTTTGATGACACATCTCTAAGATTGGGCAACGGCAGTGGACACACACACGAGCTCTGTTGGTCAATGCAAAGAGGGCTGTAGATTCTAGGTGATGGGAGTTTCAGTGCACTTGATCAAGTCATTGGGATCAATCATCCCAAGTGATAAAGGTTGAACATCAACATCTCTGCCACCACCGTGCGCACGGTCACCCAAAAAATAACCATGCCTCCTTAGCTCCGGTAACTTCCCTCCCCCCCGGGGCCCAAGGAACGCAAGCTGCCAGCGCCGAACTGCAGGAGATGAGATCCAAGACCGTCGTTCGAACGGCGCGAACCGCGTCGAGCGTTGCCCGCCATCGGCTGGTCTTCGCGTCAGCCTCGGTCCCCCAAAGCGGTGTGGACACTGCTCGGTGGTCTCAAAAACGGGGGGCCGTTCTATCTGTGTTGTCTTGACCGGTCGAGCAAGCACTGACACCAAAAATGAACGTAAGATGAGGACCTTCCTCACTGACACTCACACTTAGAAGGCAGGCTTGGGCTCAAATCCGAATATGTAGATCCCTATTCGCGGGATTCGCATCATTCCCAGTTAAAAGTTAAAAGCCACCTGAAACATCTGACTCTTGAGATGGGGCACAGGCAACAACAATGTCCTTGTATTGGGGATAAAGGAGTCAGTGCCAGGTACCACAAATGTATTGGTTGTAGACGGGGGCATCGCCTCTCTCTCTCTCTGTCTATATATATATAAATCAACCAACCAATCGTAACAGGCCATCTATGGCACAGGTTTGGGCTTAACTTGACAGCCTCAGCGTGGTCGTTGAAAAGCAATTGGTGTCGGTGTGAGGACTCCCTCCATCTGTCAGCCAGGTCCCCTAGGAGTTTCCGCATGGTCTTCATCCTGGCATAGTCTTGGCATGTTTGGGGCATTCTAAATTGGATTAAATTAGACCTACACACTACACACCAAGCCCCTGGCTAATACAACTCTTTCAGCACCAGCTGCAGCCACAAAGCATCGATAAGAGAATTCACTGCCATGGTACTCTGGCGCAGTGTTTGCATTACACAACTTTCCAGCAAGCTCACTGCGGTTTGCCAGGCACTCGCGGCAAAGCTTGCAGCCCCGGTTCTTCCCGCAGCACTGATGGCCCCTCCTAGTCCGATAATATTCAACCGCAAGGTCGACCTCGAGGAGAGCCGCAGGAGCTCAAGTGCGTCTTGCCACAAGAAACCCTTGCCACAGGCACCAATGGCAGCACCTAGGGTGATGTCATTGACCGTCAAGGACCCACCGGTTGCTACTGCGAGCAAATGAAATGCTACGATCCATTGAGCGGCTTGGGTGCAACTGCGTAGCGCCGCACTGAACGTGGTGATATTGGGCTGCAGGGCCTCCAAATCAAAGCCACGCTACTATGAACAGGAAGAATGGACCAACAAAAATTGACAAATCTATTGGCCAGCCGCCAGCCTTCTTCAGCCCATGGAACATCTACAAACTGTTTTTTAATGTGGTTCCATGTTTTTCCCCATAGTATAAACGCCTTTCCAACTTGTGGCCTTGCTCTCTTGCACTTCCATCACCAGCTTCAAAGCTCGTCGCCATCCTCCACATGCCCCGAGAGCAGTGGTGTAAAGAATGACATCTGCCTGGCCACCTTGCTTCACATCCCGGAAAATATCCAGTGCTTTCTGCCATTGCCGCCTTTGCGCATGGCTGGTGATTTCTTGGCTTCGCTTCTTCAAATCTGGGTCCGGCAGCATCCGACACCCCCAGCGGCGCGCGCTCCAATTGCTGCACTGCTGAGACTCAGCTGCATGACATTGAGCAGGTCTGAAAAAGAAGCGAGTTCAAAGGCCTACGGCTTCCAGCTCTTATCCTCATGGCTTCCCAGTGGCAGGCGCCGGATCTGAACATGAGTGAAGCGCCGGATCTTGGCACAAAGACCTACTCGGTTTGTTTCTGCTGGTGATGAAAGGTGTACTGCATACATGACACTAATTCATCCTGCCCAGCTGGGTTGCTCTTGGCGGATCTCATCGCTTCTTGGGCTGGATCAGGGGTGACATGCGCTGCCCCCACGTACGACATAAAATATGGCACATGAATACACTAAAATGACTTGATCTCGGCAGCACAGCACACCGAGTTTCTGGTATGTTGGGCCAGGTGGGCCAGGGCGCAAAAACGACTAATTCGATCGTATCATTGAATTTTAAAGCTAGTCAAGAACAATCTGGAAAGTCAACAACTAAATAAGCTGACTGCTGAAACATGGGCCCCATGTGGCGGACATAGCGCACTTTTCAGACCGGTCTGAATGCGGCGGATGGCTTCAATCTCGGATCCGGTATTAGTCGGAAAATATGTGAACAGCTCTGCACATCTGCAAATCCTGCGATTGTGCAGTGATGTTGCATATCAGAAATCAAGTCGCTCGACTAAATGTTGCATCAAAGTTTTGACCCAATCAGCCATGAGCACAAAGGTTCTTATTCCATTCTCTCTAGAAACAAATGCAGGTTCCATCTCTGACATCCCAATATGCGCATTCCACCAGTGGAAAGAGCAGAACCCGCAGTACGTTCCACGCGACAGCCAGGTTCGCCACGGGTGTCTCCAAGAAGGGTGATGATCGGCTTTGTGGCGTTCTCATCAACCAAATCCAATGAAAATCATGGTTCATTCTACTCACTCTCCCACTCACTAAACATGGACGTGGAAAGCCTCCTCTTCATAGAGCAAAATTGTCTTTTTTGGGCCTATTTTCCACTTCCAATATAAGTGGGTCAGAGCGTACTCTTTTTGAGGAATTGCCCCGCCAAAATGGACAGAATTGTGCAGTATGCCACGCGTGTGACATTCACGCCACGTCCGAATATCTAATATTATCTAGTCAACGCTCGGTGTCATCTAACTATATATAGAGTTATATAAATATATGGTCTGTGTAGGTGCCATGGTCTCTCAACTCATCTCACATATAGTATATATGCAATATAACGATTGCGATCTTGTCCATCAATGGGGACATTTTGCCAATGGTGCCAAAGTCGCGCAGAGTTTGTCCAAGTCGCCCAGCAAAAGACCTGGTTCCATCACCACCGTCGGGCCAAACGAAAAAAGAACTCTCTATGCGGATGCCAAGGTACATGGTAGGATGGTAGTACCAGCACCAACCCCTGCACTATGTAGTACTAGCACCACCCAAAATGGGTGGTCTTTGGAGGTCAAGTACCCTGTAGGGGAAGTTTGATGATTTTGACCATCCGGTCTAGTCAAGAGTGCAGTGTTTTCTAGAGATTTCGAGGCTCGAGCAAATTTTTGGCAACGACTAAGAAACTGACATCAACAAAAAAGGGAGTCTCAAAATGGATTCTGCCAAATCGAGAGATATTGAGACAAAATAATTGCCTTGAGGTGACTCAAGTCCATTTTGAGACCACCCCACAGGTTGAATTGCTTCCTCCAAACCCAGCTCACTCAAGGTCTTGGTCTCCTCCTTGCAACTGGTCCCATCGATCCAGATCTCGATGGCCTCCAGCGGAGCACAAATTCGCCACCGACTTTGGAAGACCATCCGCAGCAATCGCCGAAGCTTCCCCAGGGTGGCGGTGTCTGGGTCGAGCTTCAAAGAGGCGTAGTCCGCTTTCTTCCTCAGGTGGCGTGGGCCACTATATATCATAGAACATTAGAACAAATTAGAGCCTGAGTGATGCATGTAGAAATCGATTTGCCTTCTTGTTCTCTAAACTATTCTAACCTCCCCCCCCCGTCTGTTTGATTTCTTTATGTTGGTAGTCAAGGGCGGAAGCAAAAGGCACAGTAGACATGAATCAATGAACTTGATGTCTGGGGTGATCATGTGTGGACATCAAGTAAGGCATGTCTGAAGTAAGGCAGGTGGCAAAAGAATACAAATCATCAAGACTACACACAATCCCTGGAATCACCATGGAAGTGGATGGCCTCTTGGATGACCATGCCATCCTCTACAAAGATTCGGTGGGTTTCGTCGCCTTCGGTGATCCCAAAGAGTGTGTACAATTGACGCGACGTTGACACAAATCAACAGCTTTCAACAGCTGACCGTCAGCTTGACATTCATGAAACCTTGACAGGCTCAAGCCATGAATGTTTCACAGCCGTTCTAAAGTAAACCACTATAGTACCCTTCCCAGTGGATCAACATGCTGCCAACAAAAGCACACCCAAATGTGCATAAACATCACAAACCACAGTAGACAGCAATGCTGTTGCCCACAAGGTGGGAACAGGGAGGGGGAGTACCTCATTTAGGTGTGTGTTCAGCAGCGCTTGTGACCGCTCAGGCGAAAGTCTGATTTCAAGTTCTGGAACAATGAACCACCACGAAGCATTCTTGCAAGGGGCACCCACCCCCCTTGTCCCTTCTTTCCACTCACTCCCTTTCCCTTTCCCAGTCCTTTCCCCTTCTGCCTGTGCTTGCCCCGTTACTCTCCTTTACTATCCTGACCACTGATGGAAAACACCTGGATTCTGGCCGGGGTCCTATACAAACTGATTCTGATCATCCGCCCAGTTCCAGCTTAGCTGGGGGGCCACCCTACGGTCCTACAGTTCATGGAGCAAGTTCCGCAACACCAAAAGAACCAAACCAAGGCCCCCTCGCTCGTACCAAAAAACCGAATACTCCAGGAGTGGTTCTTAGGCTCTAAGTGCGTGGATCATGGGCACCCCATGGCACCCCTACCCTCCCGGTATAAATGTCGAACTGCTGGTCGATGGTTCTCATTTCCAGATCCTTGCTCGGGTCCGTTTCACTCCTTGTAGCCCCGTTGTGCTGCTCAGCGGCATCCCATCAGCCTCCATCCGCACCACCACACGTTGTCCGCCAGCAGCGAGCTGACGCGCCGCCGCGGGAGACGTCGCGTCCTCGGCGCCCTCCAGGCGGCCGATGAAGTACTCCGTCAACTGGGCCTGGACCGGTGGAGATGCGTCGGAACGAAACACACCCGACGCATGTGGCGCCACATCCGGCGGATGTGCGATTTCGCAAAGCGCTAGATAGCCAATATGGTTTAAGTTGCTTGCTTTCAGAAATCCAATGTTTTGACGTTGACTGACTGCTGCTTTGCATCGTGTGCTAAAGGCTGCGGTTGGCAAACGTCGCAGTGTGGTTCGGGGAAGCTGCCCTGTCAGAACCATAGCTGCTTGAAGAAGTGCTTCAAGCCAGCATTGTGTGCTGGAAACAGTTTTGGTCAACAAAGGCCCAAGAAAGGCATGCCCAGAAATAAGCATAGAAATAAATATCTACAGTAAGTATATTGTAATAGTACTTAAACTAAAAGTCTGAAACCAAACTACCCGACAGATTCAATTATTAATATTAATTTTAATTCAGATTGCCCTCTGGAGATGTCGCCGTCGAATGGAGCAGATCCTGCCATATCCCCAACCTCGCTGAAGGCTCGACCGAATTTGTCCATCATAGCCATCAAAACAAGCACTCGTTTCATGTGTTTCATGTTGTTTTTCAATAACCTCCCAACCCAGAAACGGGCCAAGGAGCCTGCCTAACTGAGCCCAGGGAACATGTCCAGTTAACTGCTGGCCAAACTGCACAAACCCTTTGGATGAAAGTTGGCGAAACTCTCTCTAGGTCTGTGACTGGGCCATGCGAAAAACCTCCGTGTCAGTGGGGATGTGCCCCATCCTGATCCATTCTTTCCAAGAATCCAAGGGGGCCACACGGTACAACAAAAAAAAGACTCTAAGATCTCCAACACATCCTTCAATTCATCGACTCATCGACCCCAAAAACCACCCAAACGCTGTGGTCGCTCCGTCTGTTCGCCTTGGCTTTGCGGCTGTGGATCTGCTCCCACTCCTCGGAGCAGTCGGTGCCCAAGCATCGGCAAATGGCCAAGATGGTCGAGGTCTGTCCAGCGATGCTCCAACCAGGATGGGTCTTCACCTGTGGGTGAAAAGCGGTGAAAGAGATCAAAGATGATCAAAGCGGGACACATATGCTGGTGATGTGGAGTGCTTTTGAGGGGAGCTGAAGATTTTGGGTAGATTTCAAGGTTTGAGAGACCTGGAATGTGCCATGGCTTTGTTTGGTTGTTTGGAAGGGTTCTGATGGCAAGCTATAGGAAGGAACACTACTATGCCAACAACTTCGAGTTGTAAACAACATGTTTAACAGCCAAGATTGCCACGTGCCAGTGGCAAAATTGACCAATGAGTGGTTTGGAGACCATCCCGACCCAGCTCGCTCGCACCCATCAGGTCAAAGCACTAGCTCGTCTCCGATCACTAATGTCTCCCGTTCTAAAGAAGCATGTCAGACTATGTCTCTCAAAAGCAACCAAGTTTGGTGCTGTGGTATCGTTTCAGACAGCATGGACGCGTCTTTACTGCGCTGACGTGAAAACAACAGCACCTCACAGAGTAGTTGATTCAGGCTTCATGGACATGCCCTTTGCAATACCTCCTAACCGAAAGGATCTCGCCGGTCTATATTCAGCATCTCCCTTTTCAATCTGTGTGGGGCATGTTATGGCATGTTTGTTCGGGTGATGGCTAGGTCCGGGTGAAGTCACCCTTATTCTGGTGTAGATACAACCTTGCTCGCTCGCTCTCTCCTTCTCTCTCTGTGTCTCTCTCTCTCTCTCTATGCTCCGAAGGCTGTTGTCGCAAAGCACTGCTGAAGGACTACCTAGCTATTTTTTGGAAACTAAACACCTGCAACACAAAACAACTGGAACATCATGGAATACATAATCCACTGCAAATACAGCTATATTATGTGGTTATATAGAAAACAGGTGCAGGATTTGTCTGTAGTATGGTTTTTGCAGCAGCCTCCAAAAAGTAGACACGTCTGAGGCTAGTTCAGGCAAGAGGCAAACTCTGTGATGTTGTAAACGCAGCCACCAACGACGATCCAGCCGTCATCTTTTTGGTTGTGCCCGGCAACCTCTGCCATTGTAAAGTACGGAGACCTCTCATAGATCCTTGGATTTTGCGCTAGTCCCTGTCTTCTGTCTGTAAGAGGGGTCAACGGAAATTAACGCACTCACTCAGGTAGACCATGCTGATCAAATCAAACTGAGTGATGTTGTCTGAGTGATGTCTCTGTCGATTTTCAGGCGTCCCGACTGGTTCGAAAGAAATGACATCAAAATACTCTTCAACAATGCTAGGGGTCTCTGGCATGGCGGCCTAAGAAGGCCTGTGTGCACATGAAAAACTTTTCAGCCAAAGGCTGCATGCCCATCAGGGGCAGGAAGTTCGGCAACCAAAAAAGCTTGCACATCAAGTAAGTGACCCTGGTCTATATTTTATAGGTATCGAACCTATTAGATGCCTGTAGCACGCCTATGTTTCCGTCATTTTACATCCAACGCAACACAACCATGCAAGCTACCATTCTGATCAGCATGTTTGCTCATAGCCCAGGTCAAGTACATGGATCGGTCCAAAGAAGAGCCTCCGAAGATTTCTGGAAGTTCGACTGGCAAACGCAAGACAAACACAGAATGGTGGAAGGCCGACTTTGAGCAACTATAATGAAATATTGGCCGTGTCCGGCCTGGCTGGCTAGTGGTTTCAATATGAACACGTTCATTGGCACAACGTCCCCGAACCTGCATGGACAATAGAATTTGGATCCTAAACCCCACTACCCAGCTGGCATCATCCGAAACAAACAAGAATACAAACACATGAGGGCCTCCTCACTTCTGTTGAGGCCATGGACAGGAATCACAGCTCATTACTCTTGGTTGTTGCCTCGGCTCTGGTTAAATCTGACTACAGTAATGGATTCCTCTTGAGCAATCCAGGAGCCCGAAGAGACACAAAGAGACCCGAGTAGCCAAGACCCCTTGTAGAAGCAACAGCAACAGCAACACGCAACAAGGATTTGCTACTCAGAAAGCACTGGCACTGCCAAGCACTCGGCCTGTTCTCTGGTTGCTCTGCTCACGCTGCTCAGCCTTGAGTGAACCCAGCCAGTGTATTGCTGCGTCTGCGTTATGTTGTGTGACGTGCAATAAACATATATAAATACAATAAATTGGAGCAGTTTCGTTTTAGCTTTTCATCAGTTTGGGAGCAAAATAACATAAAATAACAGTACCCAACCCCAACCGGGCAATTGGCTATATGTTATATTGCATGAAGTGAAAGCAACATAAAGATCATAAAGCAAATATATCTGAGAGTCTACTTGTGTTTTTCCATGCCGGGTGATGCTGGATGACATCGTAACAAAAACCGTCGGATTTGAGGGGTGAGCACTCCCATGCCCACCCCCCAAGTTCTATACACAATAGTTTTGACAATCACATACATATCCTGTGACTGTGTGCTGTGGACAACCCTTCTCTGTAAGCAAGTGAGCCCCCTTCAAACGAGGCTATCGGTTGTCTAATCGAACTGACGGTGAAGGAGGGCAAGAAGCGATCACGCAAAGCATCCTGGGGTCTAGGAGAAACGCACCCCAAGAAAGCAAAACACGATTGAATTCAAGCCAAACAACAAGACTGCATCAAGTAGAAACGATCACTCCGCTGCCTTTGCTCCCATGTAGAAGCTTCCAAGAGCCATAGAAAATGCCGAACATATGAATCATGTGTCCTGAGCACGTTCTGAGCACGTTCTGCCGAACCATTTCACGTGGAGACTGGCTAAATGCCACCGCCATCGACCTGGAGCCGTCGGGCCATCAACGCCCTCGTAAGAGCTCCGTCACCTGAGTCTCCGACCACGCGCGAGGCGTGCCAAGGGTCTGATGGGTAAGTCACAGCAAAGCCAGAAAGGGTAGTATCTAAGCACCATAAAGTTTCGATGCGTGGATGGTCACGGCAGGAGGGTCTATACACCACCCGTTGGATGGTGCTGGATAGTAGTATCCTCATAGATCCTAAACGATTTGTATTGTATATTGTATATACTTGTTGATACTTGTTGTATATATCTTGTTGTCTGTTCCTTTCTGATTGGGACATTCTTCGAACTGCTGGTTTGTCCGGAAGTGTTCTGATTCCACTGCCCCGTTGCAAGTTCCAGCTTGCTCGCAAGCACCAAGGTTTGCCGATAATCCTGAGCTTCCTCGCATGCATTGATTGCAGAAACATATGTGATGACCTAAGCGACGGGACAACGACGGTGAAGCCAAACCTCCGGCCCACAACTTTAAAACCATCTAGGACCCACGCAAACCCGTGAGGCCCACTGAGCGTTTGGTTTTCTGATGTGACGGTTCTGGGGGTTGGCCATGTGAGATGATGTGAGGTTGCGTAGAGGTTTGTTTTTTGCTGCTCTTGAAGAAACCGCCCTCAGAGTTCTGTGGGACCAGTCAAAGGCACAGTAGCAGGGAGAAAAGAACTGTTCCTAGAAGTCCAGCTGCTGGCCTGCTGTGGGTTCTTAAACTCACTACAGGAACAGTGCAAGTTTGTGCTGTAGTGATTCTAGTTTGGTTGTTGAACATTGGAAGCAGCTTCCACAAAGAAAAACTACTAAAAACCTCTTCGTCAGCAGAACAGCCCTGCAGAAGTAATGTTTCTTCTTTGGACTCCGAGCCACAAGTCTTCGGAACAGTGGCAGAGGTGTCGATCTTTCTACCACCAAAAAAAGACACACAGAAAGCGAGACCCCCCGCTGCTTCGTGCCCAGACACACTCGGAAGCAAGGCCTGTGCACCGATTTCATCCACCAAGACCAAGGTCCTTTGCCACCTGGACGGAGCGGCCGCAAGCCGAGCGACCAACCGAGATCCATCGAATACGCGGGAGGTCCAAGCGAAAAGGCCTTTCAAATGCTCTTAGATGACAAATGTACCGAAAAAGGACGACATGTCGAAGCGTTTGCCGTTTCATCGTCTTTACTTTTGCTGGGTTTCACTGTCACTGATCTTCTGAAGTATAAAACATGATAACACATGTAATACACATGTAATGTCTAATGTGCTTTAAGCAGGTCATCCTTAATTGACAAAATAATGCAACATGTCCAAGAAACCAAATCAAATTGGATTTATATTGTGCCCCAAAATCAGGGTTATCGAGGCTGCGGCATAACAATAGTCAGGATCCATATTATCCAGACACAATTCAACTCAAACAGTGAAAGCAACATGAAAGCAAATGTAATAAACTGTAAAGGTGACTGTTATTGCGGCGGCTACCCCAAAAAACTGCAAACAAAAAAAAGTACACCGTACACCCCCATCATTATATCCGAACATATTATTATATGACAAATGGTTGTTACATGCAACGTTCTTCTGGAACACACGCGGCACGGCCTGCCAGCTCCTTCACAAGCGGTCACTGTGACACTGAAGGTCAGGAGGTTCGGCTCCAGAAGCCTCCGGCGGCGAGGTTTCGATCCTGAGACCCCTCGGCAGTTCCAAGTCCTCTGGAAAATGAAGGTAAACCATCCCCACCCCCAATGAGGGGGAGGGGACCTTTTTATTGCAACTTACATGTTCACATAAAATGAAGTTTGCATGTTTTTGCTAGGTCGTGTATACTTCAAGGTTGTTGGCATCCACTTTCGAAGACAAGAGTTTCAAACAAGAGCAGGACGCCTGTGTCAAGCCATACTCTGTAAGATCGATTCTTGTTCCTGCTCTTGAGCAAACTTCAAAAGCAGTCCGCAAGACCTCGTTTGCCTTTTGTGCTGGGGTTTGCCGAGGGTATTTGCGCTCCGCTCCTATTTTTCCTATTGTGTTTTATTTTGTTTTGTATTGTTTTCCTAGTGTTCTTCGGATTTTTTCCCGAATGCGTAGCGAAGGGTTCTCGTTTAACTCTCAGGGGTCTGGGGGTAGAGCCTTGTTCGCGATCCGTTGTTTCTACGTCCGCAACCGTCCGCAACCGTTCGCAACCGTCCGCAACCGTCCGCAACCGTTCGCAGTAGAGCGCTAAGGCGCTGCCATTGGGGGAAGCTGTTGCAAGTGACTTTTCATGGATGTGTCACGTGTCAGTTTGCGACGCTATTCCACTGTGATTTGCATGAAAATGACACGTCGCGCAAGGAGCGTGATGCATTTCGCTGCACAGGCGCAGCGTTTTGTGAGATCCGCAGGTTGCTGCGTAGTTGGTTGGGGATTAGCGTTTGGAGAGTCGTGTTCTTGGGGTGTTGGACATGGCCGTGCCATTGAGATTTGCGTTTCAGGGTGTGGCATCGAAGCTCTGTTTTCGTGACAAGTCTCAGCTGAAATGCCGATTTTGGTGGATGGGAGTGTGCTCAGAACGGGTCGAAATCATTCCAAACGTGTGGTGTGGTGCAAATTTTGTTGAAGCTGACATGAGATGATATTGTCACTATTCGTGGCAGGCGCAGCACTTTGCGTGGGTTTTGAGGCGTGGAAGTGCGATTCTCGTGGCAGGCGCAGGGAATGGTGAGGTTGCGAGGTGTGACGGAGGTGACATTTCGTGGCAGGCGCAGTACTTTGTGCGCGTTAGACATGTGGATGCGGAAAGATTCGTGGCAGGCGCAGGGAATTGTGAGGTCGTGAGTTGTGGTAGAAGTGAACGTCGCTGTCACAGTGGGATTGGCGTGTGAACGGGTGTTGTTTGGAGGGGCTGGACTCGCGAAACTGATTGGCAGGGCTGCGTGATGTGTGTGCTCCGATGGGTGTTTCTGCTTGACTTTTGGAGGAAGTCTCGTACGAAATGCTCGTTTTGCAGACTTTGACATGTGACTTTTGGAGGAAGTCTCGCACGAAACGCTCGTTTTGGAGACTTGACGCGTGACTTTTGGAGGAAGTCTCGTACGAAACGCTCGTTTGGGAGACTTGACATGTGACTTTTGGGGGG